ATTTCGCTACTCGTTGGACAATAATGTCAGTTGACACACTAGATAATCATTTATTTAATAATATGTACTCATATACATAAACGTAATTAAATAATGAGCCATATTTTTCAATCATAGACTAAGTGACAGGTTTTAATAGAGAGATTTGATGTTTAAAAGATGTGACCTAATTACGAGATCAACACAATTATAAATTTTACAGAAGATTAATATTAACTTATTTCTAATTATAATAAATTATAACTACTACTAATAATCAATTTCCTGACGGTATTATTTGACATTTAAATGTTAAATAAGATGAGAAATGTAATTTTATTCTTATTTTGACAAAAAAAACTTCTTCAAAGAGCCGAAGATAATTTTTGTTAGAAAAGAAAAACGAGGAAGGAATAATTGAATAAAAAAATGTTGATATTCTAGAGATATGACCTAGTTTAAAAAATTAAATTATTCATCAACAATATTTTCTAATAATACGATTTTTATAATAAAATAATAACAAAGTTAATTATAAGTATTGATGGATAATTTGAAATTAAATTTCCGCTATCATTTTTTAATGATTAGATAATAAATGAAAAAATCTTTCATCCTTTTTTTAAGAGAAAATCATAGGAAAAAGCTACAATAACATTATCCTGGCACCATTCTAGTATTTTACTGCAGATGTGACCCAGTTAAGAAATGGAAAAGGAATAGCAAAAGGATGAAGATCGATGAGCAAGTGTTGAAATGGACATCTACTGTAATTTAAAAAGGTTCACCAAGAGATTGCCAGAGGATCAAACGTTACCATTGATGTGGTCTGCACCAATTCTGTTGGCAAAGTTTTGAAGACACCTGGCCATTTTATCGTACTCTCCTTACTAAAGGTCTGATGAAATTCATCAAGAACTGCCAAAAGAAGATAGTTAGGAATACGTGAAAAAACCTGTTCACGAGGTTTAAGGATCGTTCGGTTGTCAAGAAGACAAGTTGTACAGACATTTTTCTATCCTTGTTTCTCCCTGTTCACAATTTACTCTTCTTGTCAGCTTTCAAAGTTTAAGGAAGAAGTTGGTAACGTCAAACTTACCATTCCTCAGCTTCATCTTTAAACTTCTAAGTCATTCAATTTAGTTTTGTAAATCTGTTTTATGAGTGGTCACTAGGGAATATTTTTCATCTCCAAACTTTCCATCACGATTTATTCAATCACAACTGTTGTAATAAAATTTATCGATTATCTATTATATTTAGGATGAGCTGAAATAAAAACAAAATATAATATTAGGAAAATTCAATTGATTCTAGTGGTTACAGAGTGATAGGACATTCAAGTTATTTGACGCTCGTAAAGTCCCAACTGAAATTGAAAGCCTGATTTCAGAAGACTACAGAAGTTGATTAAATGGAACCGTGTTCTGTTGGGAGTCTTCGTTGCTACTGTAAATGAACCATAAAAATAAGTTCTACGTGTACAATCTCTTTTTATTCTTTTCGATGAATGACAATATAAATTGTCTGACGAGATTACTTCTGTGCTATTCAATCAACGTAATATAAAAAAAATTGTTTCCAAAGTGTCAATTAATAATTTACTCATCAACCATCATCTTCAATACCATCTTGATGTATATTCATTGATGGTACTTTGATAAAAAGTCTTGTGGAAGAATATTTTAAATTTATCAATCAATACTGTTGTAGTTTTACTATCATTAAAAGCTTATTGGTTATTCTGTGAGTGGTTATCAAGTTGATTATAAAGTTTTTAAATATGCATAATGTTAATTAAGTGCTTTAATATTGAAACCCACAGGATGTGGTGTAGATACATATTAAATATGAATTAATTTATTGTTTTAATTATAATTAAATAATATTACGAAAATAAAGTTTATTATCCAGTTATTTAAACATTCACATGTTTTAGGAAATTTTCAGTTTTCTTAATTAATTTCTTGCGAATAACAACTCAATTTTGAATTGAAAATTTAAATTTTTTGTGTCTCTTGAGACCACTTTTGACATTTTACTTGATTAGAGAACATTTTTTTTTTTTTAAAACAATTAATAAAAAATTTTTAAAATAATTAAAAAAAAATATCTGGATCAATAAAACAAAACTGACAGTTTGATGAAAATGATACTATTTTTTAGTGATTATTGGTATTTTATTTCAAACTTGTCAATTGCAAACGATGTCGACCCTCATTGGGGAATAATGCGGAAATGTCAAATCTCAAATGACTTTATAAATAAAATGTTAGCGATAAAAGAAGGTATAATGTTGATAGAGGTATATTGAAGTATTGAAACAAAACAAAATGCCAGTGGGTGAGTGAAAGTGGCTGGCGTGACATGAGGCAATAGGAGTTTTAGTTAGAAATAAGGGTGCGGCGCCGACAATCTATTCCAGCTTGCGGCCAATCATCGTTGCTAAATAGTCAAGCTAACTTCGACCAGGTTATTATGCAGTCTAGGTTACACGTCGGCGCCATTACTTTTGTTATAAAGTACGATGGTAACAAACGACTTAGTTAAAAAAAGAAAGAAATACTTAAAGTATCCCTTAACGTTTATACTTTCTACACAAACAACATATTTTTTCACAGAATGAGTTAAGTTGAAATGAGTTTAAGTTTTGTTAAAATGTTTTAGTTAGTTACTTAATGATATACTAAAGTTAAATTTTATAAATGGTGAAGATATTGAATGTGATTATATATTCTATGTACGACCTAGTGAAGAAAACTATTTTCTTTGGTCTTTTCCTCAGACATTGAAGAAGCAATGGAGAACAGGAAGCACCTACCACCTTTAGTCAATCGACTGGAAATTATATAGATCCGGAAATTCTTCGAGATTGCCCTACCCCAAGTCTCTAGAAAGTATGTCGAGCGTATTCAGTTGGCCTCACCCAACTGCACCAAAGACAGTTTCAATTTTTTTTCCTCTCTTCTTCGCTACTTTCATTCATAAGTTTTTTTCGCGGCTTTCCAGCAGACGGTGGGCGCCAACTTTCAATGCAGTGTTCTAAAATGTAGGCATATCAATTTGAACCAATGTTCTCTGCTCTTTCGATAGAATCAGCAATACCGATATTAAAATATCCAAGAATTTAGCATTAAAATTCTTATTTTATTCACGAAAATATTTTTCAAATTGAATTCTTATTATTTTTAGACTTTTGATATTTCATATTATTTAAAATCATTGAATTACTTTTCAATGTCCGTCATAGACATCACCAGTCATTCTCAAAAAAAAAAAAAAAGAAAAATATTGAAAAATTCATCAAAATAATTTTGAAAATTTTTTTTTATTAAAATAATATTGAAGTATAAATTTCATCCATCAGAAATTGCCATTTTTTAGCGAGTTTATATCAATTTATAATTTAGAATAAAAATTTTTTATGCTATTGATATAGTTGATGAAAAAGATATGATGTTATTAGTTGTTGTTTGATACCAAAAAACAATTTTATTTCCACAAATAACTCGTTTTTTCTTTGAAAGAATCCAGCATATGTATTCGTACATACTTGTGTATTTTTTTAAAAGTGAGAATATATAATCGATCGTGGTAAACCTCGATCGTGCGGTTGAATGTGCATTTTACAGTGCCAACGATGAGAGTGAAGAGTGCTTTCGATAGAACGGAAATAACCGACAAAGAATTGAATCACTCGACCGTATGACCACCTTTTTTATTCTATAACTACTCTACTTTACGTACTTCATTTTTCTTTTCTTCTTGAATCCTCTCCAGTCGTTTTACTCACTTGTTTCATCATTTCTTCTATTCCGACATTTCTGCCCATATTCAACTATTTTTTCCCCAGTTTTTTAACTAAAGCCTCAAGCGGTTTTGATGAATGAAGAATCAAAGTTTTTTTTTTTCACGGGTATAGATTTTTCTAACTTTTTTTTCATTCTATACATCATAAATGCAAGAAATTAACAATGCGTGATCAGAATAGTGAAATCCTAGATGAATTAAAAACAATGGAGATACTGGAATAGTGCGATTTTTTAGCTATTCAAGAGCATTGCCGATCATTCTAGTAATACCTCGGTGAAATTTTCTATTTTTGCAGCAGCTTTGTGATGCAGCATATCGTCCCTCAGGATCTCGAATGTGGATTAATACTCCGATCGTTTTTTTTTATTTCTGATTCCAAGGGTTTATAAATATTCTCAGCTTTCTCTTGATTATGAAATTTGATATTTTTCCTTCTGATAATTAATTTTTGCTTTTTGTCTTTGATATTCATGATGTGTAGATTTCGGTGAATAATAATTTTCAAATAATTCTTCCTCTTTGTGTACATACTAAAAGAAATCCGGTACAAATAAAGAATGTGCACATTAATAAAAAATTTAACTTCAAATTAAAGATAGAAACTTCTTTGTAAACATTTTTTTTGGGGAAAAAATTCAAGGAATTTCTAATATAATCAAAGTCTGATGTGCAGACGAAAAATATTATTTAAAAATTATTTAATTAATTTTTTAAAAAGAAATAAAAAAATTGTAGATAGTAATTAATTTATCATTTCAGATCATAACATTATTGATAAAAATGTTATTAGTCGTCATTCAACACCATTGCAAATAAACGTAGCGATCAATTCAATTAAATATTCCACGAGTATCCATAGATCATTTTTTTTATTAAGAGAGATCATAAATAAAATGTCATCATAATAAATAAAATGTCATACCGTAATGCTTTTAACAACGAATCATAGTAAAACATTTTATTTAACTTGAGTTCAACGGGTGTACTTTACACACATACATCCTTTCTCAAAATACATGGTAATATTTCATAGGTTATTCGTGGCATACGTGATATATCATATATTCGGAAGATGCTATTACGGATCATCCGTAGATCGTCAACTGAGTTCAATTTACGGTCACTGAGTTCACAGTGGTACAGATAATGTAGAGAGATGACCAGTAAATGTATACGCGTATATATAGATATATAAGCAGACTACTCACCAACGACAGTGAGATGAACGAAATGACTCATGTGAGGGGTCGTAGAAACTTGACACTCATATATCCCAGTATCCCGCAATTGAGGGAACTTTATTTGGAGTGTCCAGTCGTCCGAGTGAACGTTGTGAATGGCACGAAATCGTTGGTCACTTGTATACGTGTAACGTCCAATTGTTAATAGATGAATGTCTCTATGTCGCACCCACGACACTTGTAATGGCACCTGAAACAGATATAAATTAGTTTTCTATAGACAATTAAATACCAAACATATAAGCTGATTATTTACAGTACTTGTTTTTCTTCAACAAACATTTTTCCAATTCATTTAACATTTTATTCGTGGTGTCAAAATGAATTATTGAAAGAAGAATAACAAGTTGAAATGATAAAATTAATGAAAGTAAGTAAAAGTAATCTTTTTTCTCAAACAAATAGTCTCAATTATTAAGTTATGTTTGTATATGAAAGAAGAAATTAACAAACTGATTAACACATTAATAGTTAAACCTAATTGATAGATTTAAAAATTTTAAATTTGTTCAGAAATTATTGACATTATGTAGACAAGTATGGAAGAAGAGGTTTTTGGAAACTTGTAGGTTTAGAATTGGCAAGGAATGTCAAAGATAATATGAGCAAAAAGCTAGAAATATGTTTAACAATCAAGAATTTTGTATAAAGAATCTATCAAATGAATAATTAAACAGATCATTTATCATCAGATAACTCTAGTCAATACAGAGAATGCAACTTTCTATCATAGTCAGACTATTCATCTTTTCTCTAAATGAATTCTACAGATCCACATCATACTTTCTGTTGCCATCTCATTTACCATCTTTTGTTCATAATTTTCCCCCCATGAAATCAAAACAGCTGTTAATTTTCTTAATAGCTAGTCTAGACAGAGCTACGATATATTCCCACCTTTGTGACTCATCATCATCACCTATCTATGAATGTTACACCGATTCATTAAATGCTATAATTCATTTAGAATTGATTTTTTCATTATTTTTCCAACTACATTGTCTGTATTAGAAAACTTTTGTTATGTTTATAAGCATTTAATTAATTAACGGAAAGGAGATTTAGGTATCAATGAATTCAAATGAAGGTTTGGAGTTGATTGATAAACTTGATATTTATAACAAGTTGGCGAATTCCTATTTCTTATTTATACATTTGTGTAATAAGATCTTATGTAATAAGATTTACTGCTTCTAGAAGCAATTGTAAATGTTCAGATTGACTATCAAAGAAATAAATTAATCATGGCATAAATTACCACACTATCACAATAGCATTAACTATTAAAAGTCAACGGACTTTCATACACGAATTTTTAGTGGACCATTTGTAATTTTTTCTGGAGGGTTTTGGGCATAAAATTCCGGAAAAATCAGCTAACAAGATGCGGAGATGAACGTCATGTGACATGAAATGTAAACTCATTTCTCGTTCAATTCATTTTCCTGTCTAACTCTCTTATTTTTCACTTTAAAACACTGATTTTCGTGACCACAGTTACAGCGTTTTTCTGCACAATCTCACACATTATTTTTCCTTTCTTTCTCTATCATTCCATGGGAAAACTTTTGAAAATTAATAGGATCGCTTTGCATATCATTCTGGAATTTACATGTGAAGCAAAAGGGATTGTATCTCTTCTTTAGTGTGATAATTGAACCACTTTAACTTCCTCTTTTCGTTGCGTCCACTTTCTCCGTTATTTTCTCTCGTTTTGAGCTTGCTCCACGGATTTCCGTACTTTGAAATAGTTACACGCATTTTCTAGAGATAAAGTTCCCAAGAACAAAGCATGTGGTGTGGAAATTCAATTAGTACTAGAACGTGCAACCAAGAAGTTTCCTAAACATATTTACATATTCAATTATCATAATAATCATGATTGTTAAAATATTTTGTGCAAGTTTTATGAGCAAAATTAATACAATAATATTGCTTATTATTAATCTTGCATCTTTTTATAATGAAGAGAGTCTAATAACCTCAGTATGAAGCAAGGTTGATACACTCGTAAAACTTTTACGACTTTCGCTGCTTCGTTTGAAACTGAAAACAAGATGAAAGATGCACTGGTGTCGACAGGAGCTGATATCGTTTCATAAAATTGTCTTTCATTTTATGACGGTAGAGAGACTTAGTCCATATCGTACCATCATGCTCTGACGCTCTCTCCTTTATTCACCGTCTGAATCTTGATGCAAAATATGATAAGATACATGAAGCTTGCAATTTCCAAGATTACAATTTACGTCTAACTCATTTCTATTGAAACATAAAATTTCTTTCGTCAAAACCTCTATTTTCTACGTGATTTCAGATTGTTGAGGCTCATAAATGTACTCGGTTATTATTTTTACAATCCAAGCTTTTTGTGCAATCAAAAGTACTCAATTTATCTAAATGATAACCTGTTCAATTTTCGTTCCAAATATATCTGGAAAATTTTATTTGTTTTTTTTTTCCATCACTCATTTTTTGTTTTGGGAGTACTTAATATCCATCGATATTGTAACTACACAACGAAACAATTAATACTATCTAGGAGAAACAATTTTTTACAAAATTTTTCAACCTCTGTTTGAACCATTTTTTAAATAATAAAAGAATTATTTAATTAAAATTCCCATGCTAGAAGCTACAAATGTTTACTGAAACATTTAATTTTATATTCAAAAATTTGAATGTGGAATTTAACTTCAAATTTTGTACAATTATATTTTTATTTGTTTTAAATAAAAATAATGTATATTTTAGAATATATCTATGGATAATTATATTTAAATTATAATAATAAAAAAGATTAGTATTCTAAAGAATGTTTAGTTATGCACTAAAATGTATAAAGAGAACTACACATACTGGAATTTCATCCTGAATTCCATTAATAACTTTGCCTTTGGTAAATGACTTTTACTCCTTTGATCAAAGACATTAATTTCAATACAATATGTTGTTGACATCATAAATATGCCAGTTCATGAAGACATTGTTGACAGTAGACAAAAGATTATGCCTCTTTGAGATTAATGATAACAATTTGATTATTAATTAATTTAATTTTCGATTATTAGCTAGCTTCATATGTCGATGTAAATTCATCGATAGGAAAATGAGACAAAAATAAATCTCTTTTATTTTTAAATTCATGTTTGAATAGCAATAAATGGTATCCAATGTGTGAACAATTTATGGTCGTCAGTTGATTAATTAATTAAGAGCTGAATGATGTTTTAATTAGGTGACTTAAGAGTAATGGGGTCAACGTACCAGTTAATGGATGATTAAGAGTATTGATTATTCAATTAATCACTAAGAAGTGAATTGTCAACTGGTTTATTAATATAAAAGAAACATTTAATACAGAAATATTTTTAAAATACAAAAAAGTAAAATTGTAGAGGAAAATCAAATGAATGAAATGGCTGGTATAATAACGTATTGGTAATATATCGTTTATTTATTAATGACTAGTTGACCCTACTCAGAGTTAAGAAATTTTACTTTCCTTGAAAAAGTTCATACTTTTAAAACAAATCATAATAAAATATTCCCTGAGCTTTCCTTTCTTTATAACCAACTTCCGTTTGATTGGAATTTATGATAAAATATTTGAGTATTAATAGCAATAATCTCACTGATAAAAAACGTTGGTTCTCCCTAGGACATCGAAGGTTGAATTATTATCAACGTGGGATTTGGGGAAACTTTTCGAATAAAGAGTATGTGTAGTATGAGATAATAACGGCCCTGCTGAGTTTTTTCCTCTTACAAGTTTCTATCTCCAGGAAGTTCATCGTTGTTCGATAGGAGTTTGTGTAACATCCGGTAAAAGATAAGCACAAAACGGTGGATGTGCAGTCTAGAGTAGCCCTGTTTATATATACACACCCCAACGAAAGGCTGAGAGAGCAAAGGAAACTGTAGAGTCCAATATCGTTCAGTATGTCTAACTAATACAACAGTATACCTAGCGTATTGTATCTCTTCTCATTTATGTTTCCGTAATTTACGATACGCGACTGATACAAACTGCCATCATAGTTGGCAACCGCAAAAGCGCTTGCACTAGTTATATACATCTCTACTGACTCGCGGTTTGTTTCATGACATCACTGTTACTCTCTTTGCATGTTAATGCGTTGTCATTTCAAAGAGTTGATGCATCTTCTTCTCATCTAACAAAGACGACCATCTTTTATATTTCTACGGTTGAGTTATATAATGTATATTTATTTCCATAACTTCCTTCATCTTCTCATCTTCATATTCCAGAACATCTTTTGACCTATAAGTTATTTTATCAAATATTCTCCTCTATATCAAATTCATGGAATAGTTGATAAGTGTAAATATTTAGCCACTGTGTTATCATATCTAGATTATTATTTATTTAATCTTTTTTATTTTCAGTCGTTAAATATCTCTGTTTCAGAGAAAGAACACTCATCAGCTATTGTTTGATTTTATTTTCTTTTATTCAATTATTTAGTTAAGTGATTACCTATATATTTTTAGCAACAAAGACAACTAACTAATTAAAAGCTTCTTAACGTAATGGTTTGAAGAAGAATATTTGATATATTGGTAGACAATAATGGTAAATAAATTTTTTGACTGGGGACTTTCAATTAAATTAATGAAACGATTTACATAACAAGGATCAATGTTTTTTTTTTAAGAGTATCAAGTTTTTCTCTTTGTAGTTAAAAACTAGGAAAATTGATCAAAAATGGTTGGAAAATTATTTTTTGTCATCCAAATTTTTCGTTCATTGAACTCTTTTAAATGATAGATGAAAAGATTCAATATTATTCTACTCTCTAGTTGTTTCTATTTTGATTTAAACTCTTTATTTATCTATTTAGAGTCATTCATAAACATTTAGCAAACTTTCAAATGTCAAATGGAATGAAATAAATACCGCAGTTACTGTTTACATTTTACTAACTATGTAATTCACGTTAATTGGATCAACTATATTTTTAAAGTTGTATAATTTATTTTTTAATAAATTCGATTCTTTTCTATGGTTTTATTGGAGATAGAAATATTCTGACCATAAATTTTAAAATTAAATGCATGAAAAGAGTCGATAATGAAAAAAAGAACTCTTGTCTAATCGAAAAGGATCAAACTTCTGTAGAATGTAAATCGATTTCAACTACATTTTTTCTTCTGAATTTCTAGAAA